CTTCCTCGAGGCATATTTTACACTTGATGTAATTTACCCCCTTTCAGCAGACCATGCAATGGTCCATTTTAGTAAACTTACCCAGCTGCGCGACCGTCACCACCAATCAGTTTCGCAATGTTGTCATCACCGCAGTATGATTCTTTGTGCCTTTAACCTCTAATTCCTGCCACCCACCCACCCCCTCAGTCCCAGGCACCCATCGTAAAGTTGTCCTCTTGTGTTATGCTAGATCCCACTGTACGAGAGGGACCTTCTCTCTGCAGACTTGCCTTTTCTGGACACATCATGTAAATGCAGTCCTACAGTGTATGGTCGCTTGTGTCTGGCTTCCTTCACCTGACATCCCGTGTTTGAGGTCCATCCATGTCATAGCATCCCGTGTAAAGGAAGTCATTCATCCCTTTTCAATGCCAAGCAGCCAAGTAGTGCTCCGGTATGTCACATTCTGTGTATCTACTCACCCATCGGCGGACATTGAGGTTGTGTCCACTCGGGGGTGATTCTGAATAATGTTGCTGGTGGCATTCGTGTGTCACTTCATGTGTCACTCTGTGCTTTTGAAGTTCAGTAACTCTTCCCCCCCTGAAACTGGGGGCTAATTTTCTGTCCGATGTGGCCTGTCCCCCTACCCTTTGTCTCTAGATTTGGACAATAGAGCTCCCCAGACAGTGACCAGAGTAGCTACTACTGTTCTCATGAAGAGCCCTCGGGGGTTAAAGAGCCCAGAGGAGAAAAGGCTCGTTGATCTAATAACAGGCTTTCATTCTGTGATGGCTTATGAGAACCCATTAGCCAAATGCCCTCCATCTTCACAGAACATAAAGGAGAGGAAGTGGATTTAAAGCTCCGTGACAAACGCTTCAGGTGGGTGAGAAGGGACGTGTTTTATATGGCAGTGGATGCTATGAAGTTAGTTTGTGATACCCTACAACAAAGTCCATGTGATTTCCTCTGAGGGAAGCTAATATGAATGGGTTTAAATCTGTCAGAGGCCAGATGGCCCCGTGTGATCCCCTAAAAGGAAGATACTTCTTTTATGATGCTGCTTCTTTGTGATTAAGGAAGACACTTGGCGTTTGGTGTTCCCAGAGGCCAGTTATTGGTCGTAGGGAAATTTCCCACAAACCCCTGGGTGTGGCAGAAGGAGACATCACTCTCATGTCCTAAACAGAGCCATGTCCCTTCACTGCTCTTCTCTCCCTCATAACAGTTAGAATAGTTTAGGATTGTACAGTTTACAAAGTCACTTCATAGCTAGTCTTGTTTTTTTGTTTGTTTGTTTGTTTGTTTGTTTTTTATGTCACATTTGAGCTGTCTGTGGTTCCCGCAGTGACCTATGAGACTGGCTGTTACCCCTCTCCAGTCCAATGGAGAATAGTAGTCCAATGGAAAAATAGTAGTGAGCAGAATTCAATAAGAGGATTTTATATCACAACAAAGTGGGATTTATTACTGGAATGCAAAGATGGTTCAACATACGAAAATCGGTTAGAGTAATACACCATGTTAACAGAATGAAGAGGGAAAAGCATCATCTCAATTGAGGCAGAAAAAGCATTTGGCAAAATTCAACACCCCTTTGTATAAAAACACTCAACAAACTATGAATAGAAGGAAAGTACCTCAACGTAATAAAGATCACATATGAAGAGCCCACAGCCAACAGCATACTCGATGATAAAAGACTGAAACCTTTTGTCTAAGATCAAGAACATGAAAATGATGTCTGGTTTCACTACTTTTATTTATCATAGTACTAGGAGTCCCTGCCAGAACAAGTATGCAAGAAAATAAATAAAAGGTGTGTAAGGTGGAAAGGAAGAAGTAAAATGAATTCTGCTCATAGGTAGCATGATATTTTATGTTAAAAAAAAACCCTGCAGATCACACATACATACACACACACAAACTGTTCAAACTAGTAAACTAATTCAGCAAAGCTGCAGGTTACAAAATCAACACAAAACTTAGTTTTGTTTCTATGCACTGACAAGAAACAATCCAAAAAGAATATTAAGAAACAACTGTATATATAATAGCATTAAAAAGAATAAATACTTAGGAATAAATAAGGAATTGAAAGACTTGTACATTGATACGTATAAAGCATTGCTGCAAGAAATTAAAGACACAAATAAATGGAAATTAATCCTGTGTTCATGGATTGGTAGACAATATTGTCAAGGTGTAAGCACTACCCAAATGATCTACAAGTTCAATGCTATCCCTATAAAAATCCCCCCAATTTTTTTCTAGAAATGGAAAAATCCATCCTAAAATCCATGTGGAAGTTCAAGAGACCCTGAATAGCCAAAACAATATTACAAAAGAAGAAAAAAGTTGGAGTCTTACACTTCCTGATTTCAAAACTTACTTACAAAGCTACAGTAATCAAAACAGTGTGGTACTGGCACAGAGACAGCCATCTAAGCCAATGGAATAGAATAGAGATCGCAGGAATACTTCCAATGATTTCAGACAAAGGTGCCAAGACCACGCAATGGGTAAAGAATAGTTTTTTTTTCAATAAATGATGCTAGGAGAACTGGATAACCACATGCAAAAGAATGAAGTGGACCTTACTTTACACTATATAAAAATTTACTAAAAATGGCTCTGGCTGGTGTGGCTCAGTGGATTGAGCACTGGCCTATGAATCAAAGGGTTGCCAGTTCAATTCCCAGTCAGGGCACATGCCTAGGTTGCAGGCCATGTCCCCACTACTGGGCACATGAGAGGCAACCACACATTGATATTTCTCTCCCTCCTTTCCCCTCTCTCTAAAATTAAATAAATAAAATCTTTTAAAAATTTACTAAAAATGGATCAAAGACCTAAACACAAGGGCTAAAACTATTATTAAAAAGAGCTAAAACCATTGTTTTGTCTTAGACAAAAACATAGGGGAAAAGCTTTGTGACATTAGATTTCTCAGATATGATACCAAAAGCACAAGCAACGATATAAAAATTAGATAAATTAGACTACATCCAAATAAAAACTTTTGTATATCAAAAGACACTATCAACAGAATGAAAAGGCAATCTATGGATAGAATAAAATATTTATAAATAATATACCTGATAAGGGGTTAATATCCAGAATACATAAAGACCTACAATTTAATAATAATTTTAAAAAAACACAATAAAAAATAGCAAAGAACTTAAATAGACATTTCTCCAAAGAAGATATACAAATGACCAACCAGTCTATGAAAAGGTTCTCAATCTCAGTAATCATTAGGGAAATCCAAAGTACTTCACATCCAATTAGAATGGCTATGTTAAAAAAAAAAAAAAAAAAGAACAACAGAAAATAACAAGGGTTGCCATGGCTGTGGGGACATTGGAACTCTTCTGCACTGTTGGTGGGAATGTAAAATAGTATGAACACCATGGAGAAAGGTGTAATGGCTCATCAAAAAATTAAGGATAGAATTACCGTATGATCCAGCAGTTCTGTAATACTTCTAGGTATATATCCAAAAGAAAGCAGGAACTTAAAGAAGTGTTTGTACTTAGCCATATGCCAATGCCATGGTCATAATGGCATTATTCACAATGGTCGAAAAGTGGAAGCAACCCAAGCATCCACCAGCGGATGAGTGGATAAACCAAACGTGTTACATACAAGAAATGTGATGTTATTTAGCTTTGAAAGGGAAATAAATGCTGATGCATGCTGCAACGTGGATGAAACTTGAAGACATTGCACTAAGGGACACAAGCTAGTCACAAAGGGACAAACTGTGTGATTCAACTTGCAGGGGGTCCCTAGAGCCGTGTACTTCCTGCAGACGGGAAGTAGAGTGGAGTTGCCGGGACCTGCAGGTGGCAGGAATGGGAGCTCTCGTTCAGTGGGTACAGAGTTCAAGTTTCTTGAGATGAAACATTTTCTGGGTGGGGACAGTGGTGATGGTTACACAACAATGGGAATGTCCTGAATGCCCCTGCACTGTGTTAAAATGGTACATTCTATGTTATGTAGTTTATTACAATTTTTAATGTAAACATTTTTAAATACCTCCGAAAGGATAGACTACATGATTCCATTGATTTAAGGTGCAGAAATGAATCAGTGGTGTTAGACGCCAGGACAGTGGTAGCCCTTGAGAGAAGAGAGTTAGTTACTCTAAGAAAGAGGCACAAAGAGGCGTCTGGGGTGCAGGTGGAGTTCTGTTTCTTGACATAGGCGTGTGCAGTCCGTGTGGAGTTGTCCGAGCTAGACCTCGGTGATCTGTACATCTTTCCATATAAATGTCACACCTCAGAACACGGTCCAGTAATGCAGTTCAGAAACCCCATAGCAGACTACAGAATCAGAACCTCGGCATTTAAAAAGCCCCTCTTCCAAGTTTTCTTAAAAAATATTTATTAATTTTTAGAGAGAGGGAAAGGGAGGAGGAAGGGAGGGAGAGAAACACGGATGGTTGCCCCTTGCACGTGCCCCCACCGGGGACCTGGCCTGCAACCCGGACATGTGCCTTGACAGGGGATCAAACCAGTGACCCTGGGGGGTGCCCAACCCAATGAGCCAGACCAATCAGGGCCCAAGCTTTTCTTAAGAACACTGGAGTTTGGAAATCTTTGCTAAAGGAAGGGGAGTAGATAACTAGGCTCCCTTCGCCCAAGAATTCTTCCAACTCTACGCTTACAAAAGAACTTCTCACTTTCCTCGAACCCTTTACCTTCTGTTAGGAAACTGCCTGTCTTCCTCCAGGTGCTGAGAAAGAGCTCTAAGACCCATGACATACAGAAACGTATAGTTAACATGTTCATTTACAAATATCATTGCTTCTCATTTGTCCTACGTACTCTAACTTGAGATGGTTATTAGATATATTAGGAATATATGTTGGAAGAGCTCGATATTGTATTGAACCCCACCCTCATACATGGCAGATGCTAGGACCTGCAGGAATTCAGGCAGCTTCAGTCAGAGGGAAGGCATCACACCCACGCCGTGGGGCGTGGCACAGTGGAAGCAGGTACAGAAAAGCCAGTTCTTCCACATGTGAGCTCCGCAGACTCCATTTCAGCTCTCTTCATCTGTCTCCAAGACTTGGGCAGCGTGTTAAGCCGAAAACATGTTTCTCGCAAAGGCTTTTTTGGACGGAGCCAATCAGGGCCTTGGGGAAGCCCTTGGAGGTCTTCTTGGAGGCGGTGGTCTGCCAGGAGGGGGAGGAGGAAATGTTAGAGGGCTAGTTGGGGGAATTGTGAATATGATCAGCGAGGCTGCAGCAGCTCAGTATACCCCGGAACCGCCCCCCACCCAGCAGCATTTCGCCAACGTGGAGGCCCACGAAAGCGAGGAAGTCCGGCGGTTTCGGCACCAATTTGCACAGCTGGCGGGACCGGACATGGAGGTGGGTGCCACCGACCTCATGAACATCCTCAACAAAATCCTTTCCAAGCACAAGGACCTGAAGACCGACGGCTTCAGCCTGGACACCTGCCGGAGCATCGTGTCCGTCATGGACAACGACACGAACGGGAAGCTGGGCTTTGAGGAGTTCAAGTACCTGTGGAACAACCTGAAGAAGTGGCAGTGCGTGTACAAGCAGTTCGACCAGGACCATGCCGGGTCCCTGAGAAGTTCCCAGCTGCGCGGGGCCCTGCAGGCAGCCGGCTTCCAGCTCCACGAGCAACTCTACCCGGTGATCCTCCGCCGGTACACCGACGACGACGGCAGCATGGATTTTAACAACTTCATCAGCTGCCTGGTCCGCCTGGACGCCATGTTCCGTGCCTTCAGATCCCTGGACAGGGATGCCGATGGGCAGATTCAGGTGTCCATCCAAGAGTGGCTGCAGCTGACCATGTATTCCTGAGCGGGCCACGAGGAGGCCAGCCCCGCCCTGGAGGCCTGGACGGCCGAAAGCCACGCCTGGCCGTCTGCATCGCCGCTGATATACCCCGGCTCCCATGGCTGTCGTCTCCCGGCCCCCTCTTCCCACACCCCCACCGACGTCTGGACTCGTGCCCGCTTTTTACTGCTTAATTAAAACGGAGTTGCCATGAGAAGTGTCGTGGGTGGTATGTGTAGCCGCTGTTGCAGATGCTGGGCTTGCATGGACTTCTAGATGTGACGAGGGTGCGGGTTGGGGCCCTAAGAGACTGGGTTTGCACAGGTTATTGCGGTGAGTGGACGGATACCAAGGAGTGGGGCATTTGTTGTTGTTGTTACGAGTAAAAATTTGAGGAAAAAGATTGGAATACCTCCAGAAAGCACTCAGGAGATGCATTTTTCTTTTCCTTTAGAAAGGTGAGAAGGAGGCAAATTCAAAACCTGGTTTTCCTCCTCATTTTACGGTTGATGTTTCCATTAGGCAAAAGAAAAGTGAAAAATGCTTCCCCGGAACCCTCTTTAACCGTATATAGAAACAAGTTCAGGAATGCGGGGGAAGCTGTTCTATCTAAGGGTAGTACTTTTTTTTTTCTTAATGGTGGAGCAAGTACCTAAAATTCTTGAGTTCTTTAGGTGTAGGAAGAGCATGTAGCAATTTTGTTTTGTTTCGCTGTTTGTAAAGAGGGTGCAGGGCACTGGGGAGAGTCTGGCTGCGGCGAGGATCCGAACGAGAGCTCTGGCACGCATTTTGTACGCACAGTCAGGCGTGCCCAGCTCCAGCCAGCTCCTGCCATGTCTTGTCTTGCCTTGGAACAGGGAATATTTTTTTTAATTGTTTATGCTGTGTCAGTTGTCCCCCGCCCAACCCCGTCTACCTCCACCCAGCCCCCCTCCCCCAGACACCCCCCCATACTGTTGTCCGAGTCCATGGGCCATTTGTATACATTCTTTGGCTCATCCCTTCACCTTCTTTCATCCACTCTCCCCCTGCCCCGCCCCTCCGACAGCTGTGGGTCTGTTCCATGTGTCCACGCCTCTGTTTCTATTTTGTTCATTCGTTTACTTTGGAACAAGGGATATTTTGCTGGTTGTTGTTCCTCTCTGAAAACCAGGCAGGAGGAGGAAAAGTAAACAATGCAAGAAAAAAAGGGAAAAGAAACACTTCCACCAATCCTCATCAGTTCTGTGGTACACAAAGCAGCACAGGGAAATGCACGCCAGCGTCTCTGGCTCTGTATGGCAGCGTTCTCCGCCCTGGCTGTCCTCTAGGCTCACTGGGCGGGGGGCCCTTGAGGGATCCTGATGCCCGAGTCCCACTCCAAATGGTTCACCCGGAATCTTTAGAGGTGGGGCTCAGAGCCTTTTTCAAAGCTTCCCAGGGGTTCTAATGAGCAGCCCAGGGTGCTGGCCACAGCTCTAAAGTAAGGCTGTCTCACCGTGTTTTCCAAATGTCTCCCCTGAAACAGGCCCGGCCGGAGAGTCAGCATTGCCAGCGTTCAGAGAAGGGAACTGGGCCTGCCGAGAAACCGACACCCCCAGCCGGGGTAGCCGTGTTTTTCATGGGGATGTGGCCCCCGGTTTAGCTTTATGGTTTTGATTCAGGTGGTGATGGCCAGGCAGGCGGAACCCAGCACCCGGTCTGGTGCGGGAGACGCCGCCAGAGAGGCCGCATCTGCAGGTGCCCGGCTCCCCTGCCCGGAGCCGATGGGTACCCCCCGCCTCCTGCTTGACTGGTTTTCAGTCCGTTCCTTCTCTCTCCCAGGCTCCTTGGGAGGCTCCTCCTGAGTTGGAAGATAAATTCCTCCTTTCTCTTTGGACTCCTGTAGAGGAGAGTTGTAACTGGGGAAGTGGTGTGGCTGGTTTGTGAATGGCCCTCCGCTGCCTGTGGGAAATCCCCAGTGAAATCAGAAGAAGGTGGCACTGGCCGCTGTGGTCACCGTCATCTCCGTCACATCATGTTTATGAAACCACATGAGTATAACTCTGCATGGAGGCGAGCACACGGGCACCCCCACTTTGCTCATGGGATGTGGGCCTCAAGCTGGGCCTGGGCTGCTGCTCAGAGCAGGCGCGGTGGGATGGGCAGGAGGCTGCCACGGGCCAGCACGCGTCACCGTCAGGGTGTGCTTTGTAGGGTCCGCCCACTGACGCGCTCCGCAGGGGGCGTAGGAACGCAGCCCGGGATGGGGGTGGGGGGAGCTGCCAAGGTGCCTTTCAAGGTCTCGGAATATCGAGGTATAACTTAACCTTTCCACGTGACAGTTGTACAAGGGCAGAGTAGCCACACTTTCCCTTTCACCTCATTGTAAACATTTTATAGACATTGAGACGATTACGTCACGCTGCGGGTGAGGGCCTCTCTGCGCGCACGTGCAAAGCCTCCCGAAGTCCCCTGCGGTCGTCTTCTCTCTGTTCTCTTCGGAGAACGGAAGATTTTGCATATTTACACAAACACATTTGATACGAATTAATGTTGTATAACACTTCTACAAATAACCTCAGTCTCTGGAGCGGGTGCTGGAACATTCAGTCCGAACTCTGGATTTTCCCCAGTAACCAAATCTTGGGTGTAGAATGAGTAATTAAATTTCTTAGTTTTCATCCCCATAGTTGGTGTTCTAAAGGCACGGTTTTCAGTGTAAGAAGGGGCATTTGCCAGATGCTTTTCTATTTAAATGTTGCCGTTTCGGCATGGGAGAAGACATAATTGCTTAAAATAAAGGCCTTTGATTCCTGTAACTCCCTCCCATTGTTTTAAAATTTCTAGTATTGAGCACTGCAATCAATAGAGTAAGGTGGAAATAATATTCATCGATACAAAAAATATGTGAAATCGCACCCTCTCCACTTTATAATTTTAAAATGCCCCGTATGATTTTGAAAACCACCTTCATCTCGACGTCATCCACGGAACCCTGACACCTGTCCCAGGAGGAAGTGCTGGGTGCTGTGGACCTAGGAACAGCAAATCTCCAAAAATATTCAGCATTTCTACGTTATTTTAAAACCACCACTTTGAAAATCGATTTTGAGTTGCCCTGGCCGGTGTGGCTCCGTTGGTTGGAGTGTCGTCTCATAACCGAAAGGCCATGGATTACACTTCCGGTTAGGGCACGTACCCAGGCTGCGGCTGGATCCGCAGTCCGGGCACCGGCGAGTGCGGCCTCGCTCTCCCCTGCTCTGGCGCCCTGGAGCCCACCCTGGAGCGCATGGGAGGCAACCAATCAGTGCTTCCCTCTCACATCCACGTTTCCATGTCTCCCTTCCTCTCTCTACTCTCCCTACCTTCCTTTCTTAAAAAATAAAATAAAATAAATGCCCTGGCTGGCATAGCTCAGTGGATTGAGCGCGGGCTGTGAACCAAAGTGTCCCAGGTTCGATTCCCAGCCAGGGTACATGGCTGGGTTGCAGGCTATAACCCCCAGCAACCTCACATTGATGTGTGTGTCTCTCTCTCTATCTCCCTCCCTTCCCTCTCTAAAAATAAATAAATAAAATCTTTAAAAAGGTAAATAAAATAAAATAAAATAAAATATTTGGGGGGTAATAGTCCATATATTTTACAAGTTCATTTATATAGCAACCTCAGTCAGAAATCTCATCAAGTAGCATTGCATAACTAATCCTTAGTGCGGCCTTGAAAATATTTGTGGATGCACCTGTTGATCTTGAAATGCTCTTAGGAGGACTTACTTCCAGTGCTTACTTGTAACGCTAAGTGGATAAAACAACTTAACTCCTAGAAAACTGGTAATACAATTGCCTCCCTGGGCAGAAATATACTCTTAAGGAATATTCAGAATATTCAGAATACCTCTTCCCTGGCTCTCCTGGATAGCTGAGAGTTTATTGTATTTGGATAGTAAAACTCCTCTGGATCTCTAGAGCATCTTCGAAGACTCAAAGTCCTTTCCTCTCGCTGCACAGTCCCAGTCCAGTCTGATCTGTGTGGGGATCACACTGTACCGGTGCCAAACATCTGTTCGTCCTGCAGTCCCGCCCTAGCGTTGTTGTTGCTACCAGTTCCCTGCTTATCTGGGAACTCATCGCTTGCCCGATGCTGCTGCCAAAATGATTCTGACACCTGGGACTGTAGTCATAATGCTGTTTTTGGTTCTCTCGCTTCCTCCCTCCTCCTTCTTGTTGTCATCCTTTCCCTTCATCTCCCCGTCTCTTTTCTTTCTCCTCCCCTTCTTCCCTTCTTTCTAGTTCTCGCTCTTCTCTCTTCGTTCAGCCCCTCCCTCCACCTCTGTCTTGCCCCTCTCTCCCTTGCTCCTCCCTTCCTTCTGCCCCTCCCTCCTCCTCTGTCGTGCCCCTCTCTCCCTCTCTCCCTCCCTTCCTTCTGGCCACTCCCTCCCCTCACAGTTCCCGTCTAGGCGAGTAGTTCCTGTGCAGGAAAGGGCGGCGCTCAGCCAGCCAGGGTTGGAATGACCAACCCCTTCTCCTGTGGTGCAGCAATGGAATACCTCCTGGCTGTGTGGGTCCTGGTATCACCCTGGTTAGGCTTAGTTTCCAGAGGCTGAGGCGTGCCGGATCTTCTGGGGTCTGCGGTCAATCGCCAGGGGGCCGCTGAAGCTGCTCGGGTTGGCCCCCTTGCTGCTGGTTTATTGCAGGTAGAGGGTTGCTTAATGACCCTTTAGTGACCCGTTGGTGTCGGCCACCATGGCAGGGCCACTGTCAGTGGTGGAGGGGAGACTTTGGCCCCGCCTGGGATGCAGGTCCTAGATCCTGCCTCCTAGAGGGGCTCAGGGCACCGCAGGGCCCCTCTCAACGAGCCTCAGCGATAGGAGGTTTGCATTTGTCGCTAAACAGAAATACCGTCTTCTTCCCTTTGAACTGGGAGTGGGTGGGCCACCTGCCTGCTGTCCCGCCTCCCTTTTCTCCAGGTAGACTCAGCGCCCGATGATGTGGAGCTGCGTGGCATCCCCGAGCGTCCCCTTGCGGGCTGGGGTCCCCCTCGTGCCCCTGCTAATCGATGTCTCCCGTCCCCCCGCAGAATGATGACGGCAGCATCGACTTCCGGGAGTACGTGATCGGCCTGGCCGTGCTGTGCAACCCCGCCAACACCGAGGAGATCATCCAGGTGGCGTTCAAGGTACCGTCGGCCCCGCGGCAAGCACCGGGGTCCGCCTCGTCAACAAGGGTTGACTCTGAGTGTGTCGCGTGAAGGTCGGTG